TCATCCTGTTCTACCGGGCCACCAGGCAGACCACGCACGATAATGCAAGGCGGCAACTTCCGCCCTAGACGACACGTAAGTACGGGTGATGTGTTCCATTTCACCATCTGCGCGTACTGCGAGGACTGCGGTTACCCTGTCAGAGTGCTTCTGCTGGCTGTCAACTTTGGCCGTCTCCCCAACCCGAGCCCATGTACGACGTGGTGGCATGTCATAATGAACTCTGGTTTCGTCGATATTAATGATGTTCCCCAGGTCGTAGGCACTGAATCTTGCCCAGAATGAGCGAGCGTAGTCAACACGCGTGGCTTGCAAGTCGACTTGTGTCCTTTTGGACGCGCAGGGTACGCGCTGCGAGAAACCACGACGGTGTGCAAAAGGCACCACCCCAGGAGAGCTTTGTACGCACGTGATGGATCCGATTTTTCTTCGAGGTACGCGGCAAGCCATCCAGGCTGATACGTCCTCAGCCATGTCACAAGGTGCGCTGTTGTCAGGAACTTTTCGCGGTCGCGGACTCTATCCATGAAGTTGGCCAGTTCGGCCCCGAAGTCCACGGCCTCACTGTGACCATGGCCACTCAGTGTGGCGTTACTGGTGTGTTCTTTGGATTCGAGATACTCCTCCTTTCGAGTTAAACAACCTCGTAGAGTAGTGGCTATGGGAACGTTCTCCTGTCGTGCGAACTCGCGGTCACTGCTGCATGGCCCGAGCGTTGAGTGTTTCTGCAGGAGAGCCTTTATTGTCCCTATAGTGTATCGCTGTTGTTTTCGATTTGCAAGCAGTGTTGAGCGACGATACGGTTTTAACAGCGGCTTGCGTCGGGGTGGCGCACGCCGTCGAGACTGTGTGCCCTTTGTGACATGGATGGACTTTTGAAATTCTTGCTTCGGATTATTTGAATAACCCAATGAAAAGTGTTCGATAGGAATATTTCCTCCAATAAAAGTGAGTCGAACACTAGAGCTGTGATTGGCTTAATATTTCCCCACCATTTGAATAAAATTTCTGTGGTACAACAGTGGGGGAGTTCATCCCCGGTTCTCTGTACTCCACAAAACAAGCTGAGAAAACGTCACTGCACATGTAGCATGGCAATGACGCAACTCAGTTTGAAGAATGACTCAGTAAGCGAAGATATTGAGCCAACAAGATCATTATTCTTCATTCTGTAAACGTTTGACTCCCACTTGAACAAGTCCGAGGTCATAATGTTCTCGACGCGGCTGGCCGCACGTACTAACGGTGTCGCACTTGACGTATCAACATTAAGTGCGGTATCGAAGAGAAGCCGCCAATCTTCCTAGCGCACGCGATTGAAATGCCGCATCGAAGCACTACATCTACATGTAACGACGGAAAAATGTCCCCAATGGTACTTATCCACAATTTCGTCATGTTGATATTGTCACAGCTTTCAATCTACAAGAAGCAACTGTAGTATTTTTTGCCAATTGGTGACAAATACAGTACTCTACTCTAACCACCTTATATATGATATCATGCATGATTTACCTTGGACATACTATCATATTGATGCTGGTAAGAAGGACTATGTATCACGCGGAGGTCTCGCTCATGAGTACTAGTAGTTTAATGCATTAAACTACTTTCACTCGTCCTCGTTAAAACAATACTTCCTCTGATCGAGTTTACTGGCAACATTACTTTTCCAAGTGACCCCAAAACTCCATTTTTGCGCCAAACTTGATGAGCTGTATCATGTTCAAAAGAGCATAAAAAACTTGAGGTATCCTCTATCGCGCTCAAAACGACTAGTTCAAATTTCTTTCAAACCTCGCGAGGGTCGACACGAAGCGGGTCTAGAAACTCCCCGTCGACTTGGCTTCGATTTGGATTGTCCCGTGCTTGATCTTGTTGCCGTGCGGGTAGCTGTGGTGTGAGATCGGCATCTCCTGATTGTGCTGTACATACTGTTGACATTGCATTTGCGCACACACATGAACGTCGATACAAAAGCGTGTGAAGAAGCACAAGGATGCCCGCCCAAAGCTGTCCAAACAACGCGTTCGAGCGGCATGAAGGTCGCGAAAAGCCAGGCGTGCCAAGATACATTTGTCGATGTGATCCAGACCACACGTGTGGCGGAATTGCCCCAAATCCTGCCGTTCCTTTGAACGCGTGCGTTGTCGTCGGCGCTCAAACGACCTTCCCGTCCTCGTCACGAATACGTCCATTGGAATTTTCGTGTTCCTTGGCAGCGCCACCTAGGCACTGGGCTGGCGACGCTAGCCCACTTTAACCTTCTCGGCCTTCGGCTCTTGAAAATGCCCGACATAGTCAACAACATTGTCGAAGCCTCGACCGGTTGCCGAGATTTGTTGGACGATGAACTGTCCATTGGCGGCGCTGGGCCCTTGACGTCGGGCGGGATTCGCAGGCAATTGTCAGCAGTATCGTGACTGAACGACGTCGTATACGAGCGCGCGCGCTGCCGACACAATCAACTTGATGGACGAAGCCACGGCGCGCGATCGGCAGACTGCCTGGTCCAAGCACGTTGTCGCTACGTACGTGCGACGTGCACAGTTATCACGATTGCCCATCCTTGTCATGGACCAAGGCCGCGTCGCAAGACAGGTCCTGAACTACCCAGAGGGGCTGTTTTACCAACAGTGTAAGGTAGTTGATAACGCAGAGGATATTTGGAAGTGATTCGATTGGCATCATTTAAATGTACTAACTAAAGAACACTATGCAATACCCAAGCTCAAATGTAGAGCGGCCAAATGCAGAAGGAACTTCTCAACGTTGAAGTCCCTGGGCCATTGATGGCCTACGTGCCAATCGTGTGGGTGTCGAGTGTGCGGCTAGCGGCCGTCTCATGCCGGCCACGCACACTCGACGTTGCGACATCATTAGGTAACTCCGGGTCGTCACTACATTCTCCCCCTGATGTCGCCTTGGTCGCTCGCGTCTTCTCGCGCAGGTCTTGGACAAGCTTCTTGAAATGCGCAACATGCTTGCTTGTTCGCTCCAACTCCCATGTTGCTTCGTGCTCTGGCAAGCCATGCCACTTGACGAGGTATTCCTTCTTGCGATTGAACTGCCGTTGCTTCAGCAACGCTTCAACGATGAATAGTTCATTGCCTTTGTCGTCCAGTACATGTGGAATAGCCTTCGGGATCGGACGGTAGTTGAATCGAGATGGGTTTGGCACATGGCGCTTCAACCGGTCAACGTTGAAGACATTGTGCAGGCGCCGCATTGACGCAGGCAAAGCCAAACGCATCGCAATTGAGTTTATGACTTCCATCACTTTGAAGGGACCAATGAATCTTGGCACGAGCTTTGGCTTTTCTCGCTTGTCGAGAAGCTGTGCATGCGTTAAAGGAATGTCGCGTGTAGCAAGCATTACGTTGTC